GCATCAGGAGCTGGGTGGGACGAGGGAGAGGGAGCGGTGACATCCCGGTCATACAGGTACAGCTCACACTTCTCTCCTTGTTTATTTATTCCTGTAACTGAAATACCTGCGAGGGGCCAGGGAGGCGATTGAAAACAAAGGACCGTGAACTCCAGCTGCCTCTCCAAATCCAAACATTTTTATCAGCCTGATAGAAATCAGAAATCAAACTTTTATCACCTCCCCGCCACGAGCAGCTTTTTTCCAAGTCCTTCCAAAGAAAGCGCCATCAGCAGTGAAAACTACTCAGCCTCCAGCTGACAATGACAATGGGAGGTGTCAACCACTTGGCTTTCCTTCCTGACCTTTCTGAAAGCATCTAATTCCCCGAAAAATATCGCAGACAATTTTCTTGGCTTCTTCAGTATCCCAACTATTTAAAATTATTTTTATAAGTGCAAAATGTAGCACTTTTTTTCTGTTGCTTTTGCTGTTGTTGTGGTTTTTTTTCGGTTGTCTTTTTTTTTTTTTTTTTTTTTTTTTTTTTTTTTTTTTTTTTTTTTTTTTTTTTTTTTCTCTCTGAAATCCATATAAATACCCCTTGATCAGCCCACAAGAATAAATTTTTCAATTGAAAGAAAATGTCATTAACACACTAATAAGAGTCTGGGCAGCTGCTGCCTGACTTTTGCAACCACCCTCCCGGGATAGGGAACATTTTGGAACGGCTTAAAACTGGATAAGAGTAGATTTGGATGGGATGTTAGGGAGAAATTCTTTATTGTGAGGGTGGTGAGCTCCTGGCAGAGGTTGCCCAGAGAAGCTGTGGCTGTCCCTGGATCCTTGGAAATGTCCAGGGCCAGGCTGGATGAAGCTTGGAGCAACCTGGGATAGTGGAAGGTGTCCCTGCCATGGCAGGGGTGTGAGAGTGGAAGATCTTGAAAATCCCTTTAAACCCAAACCCTGCTGTGATTCTGAATTTTGTCCCCACATTTCAGGCTGATAAACCAAGGCCATACTGGAAACTGCTGCAGATGAAGCTGCCCTGCCATGAATGGAGCACAGTGTGTGGCTGCATCGACACAGTGATGTACCCACAGCTCCCAGCCACCCTTTCCAAATTCTAACCGTGCAAAGAATTCCTGGATGTGTGACTCTGATCCCACCAGGCATCTCCCCCCCTACACCCTCGTGCCACGTCTGAAGGAGAGGATGCGTGTTGCACTGAATGTAGGCAAGAACGTGACAGGTCCTTCCCTTTAGAGGGAATCAAATAAATAAATTAAAAAAAAAAAAAAAAAAAAAAAAAGACATAAAAGAGGAGGGTGAATCATGGCTGAGTCAGAGTTGGGGCTCGCCAGAGCAATTGCTGCTGGTGCTGGCATTTTGATGCCACAGGGAGGATGTCAGGCCAGGCTGGCTGGTCACCAGTAGGTTCTTCCAAAGGGGATGGAGAATGAAGTCTGGAGCTGTTGTTTTGGGATGCATCCAGAGCCTAATGCCACTGTTGCTAGGTGAGTTAGATGTTGGAGCTGCAGTGGAAAAAAAGAGGGAATTGACAGGTTTTAGTTTTGGTGTTTCAGAGAAGTTTGAAGACTGTGAACCCCGTAAGAGCTGGGTGTCCCATTCTCACAGAAATGGGGGTTTTCCCCTTCTCTGCCAGACTTTCCCTTCTTGTACTTCCCTCTCCCACCTCTCTGGACCTGCAGCATTCATCCCTTGGATGCTCAAGGTTAATTTTTTTCCCATCTACCACCGGGACTTTCGTATTTCAAACCTTGGCATTACATTTATACCCCTGTCCCTTCTCATTTATTAAATATCTGCCAGTTCCTGACTGGGGTGTGTATGGCAGCACCTCCAGCCTGCTCTGGCTGCTTGATTCCTCCCTGCACCCTCTGTGGGCCAGCATCACTGGCTGTCCCATGGCACACTGTGCCTGTGGTGGCTCTCTGGGAGCTGACACATCTTCCTGACAGCATTCAGGCTGCATCAGTGACTTGATTTCCTGAAAAATCGCTGAGCTAAGCACCCCCTTTGGACTCTTATCACAGCAGCTGCGAGCAACATTTTGTTTACCAGTCCAAGTGCTATTTTTAGGAAGCTGGGATTTTTTTTTGCATAGCACAATTTGGGAGGGGGAAAAATAATCCTCTGAGTGTACCTAGTGCTGTCCTGCTCCCTGCCCTCTCCCCAGGGTGCAAGTGCCTTAAAAATAGTAGTGCTTCTTCCAGCTGACCTCCCTCAGAGCAGCTGGGTGCTGGTGCCTTTGAAATCCAGGCCACTTATTTCGGAGTTGAAGCTTTCCGCTCCAGTTATTTAGGAGTTTCTAAGCCAAGAGTTACTAGGTGGATCTAATTTGAAGCGACTGTGATTTTAATTCAGGCAGGGTTTTGCTTTCGGGCTCCTTTTCATGTCGTGGGGGTGGTGAAAAAGAGCCACGGGGAGGGGAGAGAGCTGCTGGAGGAAGGGGGATGATGCCCCAATTCCTTGTCCTGTAAAATCATGTGAATTTTTGTCCTCCTTCTGACTCATGCTCTAGCTGGGAACCGGCTTTCTGTTGCCCTACATGTGAAAAGGATTTGGGGATTTGTGCAGAGTGGTCCAGGGAGGGCTGTTGTGCCTGACTCCCATCTCATCCTTGCCAACTGGAGCACTCACAGCTCTCTCCCATCTTCCTTCCCACATCCCAAATCTCTGCTTCTTTTCCAGCTCACTCATAGTAGCTTTTTTTAAATTTCTTTTTAATTTTTTTTTTCTTTTTGCCTGTGAATATTTTTTCCCTGTGTAGGAGAGGGAAAGATTGTGCACTTTTTACTTCATCTTGGCTCCATGTAAGGAATTAGTCAAAAATATCTTCCTTCTAAATACGTTATAAAAATACAAGCTGTTACTTCCAGAGGAGGAAAATGCCCTAAGTAAAAAAATATTATTGAACATTTTAGGTATCTGAGATGCTCCTTATCAGGCTTTAAATTCTGAAGCAAAATTTGCTGTATTAAACACCATCAGAGCAGATGCTCCCACCTCTAGAGCTCTTCCCACCCGTGACACATTCCCACATTTCCCTGCCGTGGCAAATTCCCACCCAGAATCCTTCCAAAGAAACCCCTCCAGGCCAGGTGGGACCAGGGGGTTTCAGCACCTGCGTGTTTGGGGTTTGGGTGTCGTCACAGGAATTCTCAGGGTGGTGCCAACCCCTCTGTGCTGCAAACAGAGGCTGTGTGGGGATGTCAGCATTGCTGGGGTGCAGTTGGTAGCCTAATTTAGAGTGGAAACGTAACTTGCAGGAACCTGGTGGGTGGATTGAGTGGATTATGAAATTTAATAAATTAATAAAATAATGCGAATATAATAATAATAATGAAAAATATAATAATAATGAAAAATATAATAATAATGAAAAATGTAGTAATAATAATGAAAATATAATACAATACTATAATATACTATAATATACTATACTATAATATAATATACTATACTATAATATACTATACTATAATATAATATAATATAATATAATATAATATAATATAATATAATATAATATAATATAATATAATATAATAATACAATACAATAATATATATTGTATATGAACATGACACATTAAGAACAATTAAATTAATAGTAAAATGATAAAATAATAAAACATAAAATAATTATATGAAAACATTAAATAATAAATAATGAAACGGGATTGTTACATTAAAATAATATTAAAATTTTAAAATATCGACTAAAAAATTAGGGTTACGCGCCCGTTTGCGAGCAGGGAGGCCCCGGCGGCTCCCGGCGCGCCCGGGCGCGGAGCGGAGCGGGGCGGAGCGGCCGCGGGCGGAGGCGGAGCCGCCGCATCCCGAGCATCCCCCCCGGGGGAGGCGGCTCCGCACCGCATGTGCGACGTGAGCGACGTGCGGGAGCGCCGGGCCGGCATCCCCCGGGCCCCGGGACCCCCGGCATCCCCCGGGACCCCCGGCATCCCCCGGCATCCCCCGGCCCCGGGACCCCCGGCATCCCCCGGCCCCGGGACCCCCGGCATCCCCCGGCATCCCCCG